TAGTCGAAAACTTAAGAGCTAGGATGGCGTTAAATTAAGGTTCATCGGAATCAGAATTCAAAGAATGTTGGTTGTCCTTTAAAAATATTTTATTTGGAGCTTGCAACGATCTCCCAAGCATTAACAGGTCCTTCCAAAGACATGAGTGGCCATCCGAAGACACCATTCTGATGATAGCGGAACTAAAGTCAAGTGAAAGACGGGATGGTAACCTTTGAACTACGATTCATAGGCTTATTAGGAAAGATAGAAGGATCTACATTGCAAAAAAAGCATTTGAGATCGATAGAGACATGAAGGACAACAGGACCTTTGATGTTTATAAAAAAGCTTAAACACTTCTGTAGCGCTAAAGTGTTTAAACCTCTCCCGTCTATCAAACTAGACAATAACTTCCTGATTACAGACCCAGATGAACAGATCGCCCTTTGGTTGGATCATTATATGAAAATCTTTGATTCCAGGAGGCCATCCTTATTCCCGTTCTCTAGTCACAACATAGAACCACCTGACGCAAACTTTACTGTGGCAGAAATAACTAAAGCCATTAATAGGCTTAGGAACAATAAATTCCCAGGTCACGACAACATATTGGGAGAACACCTAAAAGCGGCCCCATCAGAGGTCTCCCAGCTTTTGCTGGGGTTGTTTAATAAGATTTGGCATACAAGGAAAATGCCGGGAGATTGGAACTTAACTATCTATTACAATTTCCCTAAAATTCCTAACCCTACTAAATTCAAAGATTATAGAGCGATTGCCCTTACCTCCATAGTATCAAAAGTCTTTATGATCCTTTCAAAAAACCGAATCCTAGCATCCTCCCCTAACCTATTATCCAAATACATTTGTACATATCGCCCAAACATAAATATAAACCAGCCAATCTTGGCGCTGAAGATAATTGTACAAAAGTGTGAAAAATATAAATTACCTTTTTATTTTATATTCATTGATTTCAAACGCGCTTTCGACAGCATCACTCATGATACCTTGTGGGCTATCCTAGCGAGATGCGGTATAGAAGCCAATATTATCAAGATTTTAGGGATGCATTATAGTAATCTCATGGCTTCATTTAAAATCTTAAATAAAGTTCACCTCCTTTCAGGACAAAAAAAGGAGTTAAGCAAGGCTGTGTCGCCTCTCCACTACTGTTCAATATAGTAATGAATAGAGTAATTACTGATACATTAGGGGCAGCCAATCCTCTAGAACTTGAATCCAATCAGCCGTGGTTTTTAGAAAGCAGGGCGATTAGTTATGCCGATGACTTGGTCTTGATTGCAAAATACTTGGAGGAGGCTAACAATTTGGTCTTGATACTTAACACTTTTAGTCTTAAGGTTGGATTAGATATTAACTTCGATAAGACTGTAATCATGCCATCGTCTCATGCTCCCCCTCTGGGAGATTGGTTAGTTGGAGGAAAAGTTGTCAAAGTATCTATAAATATCTTGGAGTGAACATCGACAATAAAGGCAGTTATAAAGATGAACTGAAATTCCGAATTCAAAATGCTAGAGCTGCTTTCTACAAATATTTTAAGCTATGGAGAACTAGGGAGATATTGGTGTTCACTAGGCTAAGAATTTTCAACTCCTCTATCATTCCAATCCTCCTTTACGGGGGTGATACATGGGAGATAACTAAGACGGAGACAAAGAGATTGCAAACGTTTGTTAATAAATGCTCAAGAGTAATCAATGGCCTCTTTTACCCCAACATCATTTCGAACGACAACCTTTGGAGAAGGTCTAAACATACTCCGGTACATGTAACTCTAAAGAAAAAGCGTATAATCTTCTTCGCGCATATCTGAGAAATCATACCAATAACAGCCTAGTCCTTGATGTTATAAATTGGCTATACTCCATCAACGGCAAATCCTATGGAAAGTTTAAAAGATTATGGTACTTTAGGGCAATGAAAGACATCATGGATATAACTTAAACACTAAACAGTTTCTAAGGCTAAATAAGAATAAGAGATCAATAAAGAAACTGAAAAAAAAACCTTTGTTGTGTGGTGTTTGTTGCTGGATAGTCATAAACCTATTACTGACTAGTTTTTGCCTATTCGCTGGAATTTTTACCTATTTAAACAATTAGCGGTAAACCCATTAGCTTTTTCTTATTTTCATGAAAAAATTCTAATTTCAATTGATATGAACACATTCTCAATTATTGATAGTATAATTATCAAGGCTTACATTAAAGATGTTAAACTTAAACTTAGCCACCACCCACCCTTAAAGTAATTAAATTATTTTTGCAGTTCTTGGGTATAGGCTTTTGTTTTGCCCATTTCTTTTTGTCAATTAGCCTATAGACGTTTAAGCAACAGTTCTCGGACTGTTGCGCGTAGTGCGGCTTGCCCACAAACGTGTGAAGGGCTCCTCATTTTTTCTCCCCTTAATTAACTATACAGTTTGATGGATTTTTGAGGAAAACCTAGCGTAGCTCTGTTGTATCCACAACCAGAGGGCGAAACGCTTTTATCGCGTAAAATATATAATATATATTATTTTTGAAAATTATGGCATTATTTGAAATTTAGTTCTTTTCCATTTAAACCTATTAAAAAAAAGGTAGTAAAATAAATTTAAATAATAATTAAAATAAATTTTCATATTAATTATAGTAATTTAAAATATAATCTTTAAAAAATGCGATACATACCACAAGATGATTAGCAAATTAAACTATTTAAATTTTTATTATTATTATTATAATTAATCTTAAATAGCTATATTTTAAATAAATGATTAATAAAATATATTTTCTTGTAAGATTTAATATAACTTCGTTCTCTGATTCAGGATAAATATAGATTATAAATGTATAATAAGTATTATATGTAAAATATTAAAACTTATATATAAAAAAGAATATATAAATATTAATTAAATATATATATGTAATACTAAATATAAAAATAAAATCATAAATTCAATATTAATTAATGAATAAAATTTAGATATAAATTGTAAGTAATTAGTGGGTATCAGTCATTGAGAATATGAAGCTGAGGTAATTGGATTTTATTATATTGAGGGCTAATCTTTGGCGTAGGTAGTAACCCTCGTTGGGATCTTCGGTCCTAGTAGAGATCCGTTTCCCCAGCTCTTTAAAGAAGGCAAGGGCGTGTGAGCCGAACGATGTTAGAGTCGTTGCGATTAGTGGTAGGAATGTGTAATTGGCCGGAAGCGATGGCGAATATTTAGCGAATTTATTCGTCTCGGCGTCTACTAGAGCATCTCTATTTATATTGGAAGGGGCAAGGGGATCGATGCATGAGAAATCCCAGGTTAGGAATTCTGCCCTCTTCCAAGGGATCATGGTAGAGCCATCGGGATGCTTACCATCAGAATTGTAGAGTCCAGTAGGTTCGAGGGTTGATGGGATACCGGCAGATTTTAGGGCCCTGGCAATAGTATCATTGCATTTTGAATGTCTAATGAATCTGCCTCTACAGCGCTTGCAGTGTAAAGAGTGACGGCCTTTGGATTTGACCGGCGTTTGACAAAGGATGCAGTGATAGGGTATTACCATATCACAATTAAGTCTTAGACCGATGGCGTGACGTAGCTCATCATTGCTTAGGAGCTGGTCAAGGTTTCGCGATGGAAAAGCTTCGAGAAATTCATACCCGCTGTCTGCGGAAATGGAGAAGAGTAGAGAATGGTCCTCGGGTTGGCTCCTCGATTTAAGGTATGCAACGGAGTTGCCAACTAGAGGCTTATCCCAGTCCTTCTGCAGTGTCGATGAGGGAGGATCGACTAATGAAAGAGATTTCCATAGATCAATTGCCTGGGGAAGTAAAGGGTCAGGATGTTTTGTGAGTGCATGTATGATGGGCTCGCAGGTCAGGCGAGAGGATATGAACACTAACAGAGAGTATGGAAGGCGATCGTATGCCAATGCCGCCGGATTTGGTTGGCAAGGTAGCTTGTAGCCAAGATAGGTCTCCAAATTTGAGATTGAGTATATCCTCTGTGAGGTGTTTAATCTCTAGCTCGTGTGCAGCGAGGTTGACGTCGTATTGGAAGATACGTGATGATCGGAGTGTATATAGAATTTTTGGGATTAGGAGGTAGTTCTTTAATAGAAAGAACGCTTGGTGGGCTGGGAGGCGAGATAGTGTACCGCGCATAAGGGTAATCTCTAGTAGAGTGTCGGCGAAGAACTTGACAAAGGACTCGTCTTTACCCATTGGAGATCCGAGATGTGTTAAGAAGTTCAATGGTGTATGATTGAACATAGGATCATAGTTAAGGTCGATGATTCCAAGAGGACAATATTCGCTCTTGTCTTGATTGATTCGCAGTCCCAAACTGCTCTCGCTGGATTTTATTATTTCGACCGCCTTCATAACTTCGCTGGGTGAGCCGCCTAGTATACCATCGTCGATATACCAGTTATGAAGGTTTAGTTTACATTGGTCATTTATGCTTTGTATTAGGCTATTAATGCCCAGACTGAATAAGAAGGAGCCTAGAGGGTCACCTTGTTGTATTCCACTACTAGAAGGAATCAATCTATCTCCAAATTGAAGATGCGATGGACTAGCATAACAATCGAAGATGAATTGCGAGTATTCTGGGTAAAGGGTAAGGATGGGATTAAGAAACGCTGTACGTTTTAGAGAGTTAAAAGCGTTTGAAAAATCTATCTTAATTAGGATACCGTCACTGGGGTCTGTTTGTAGATACATTCTGGTCATGTGTAGGGATACCTCGCATCCCCCTTTTACGTTGACTCCTAATAAATATAATCTACCAATATATTTTTTTTGGTAAATTATTCATTATCACAAATCCATTTTATAAATTAACTTCTAATCTTATCATTAATATCTAAACAAATTATTTGTTTAAAAAAATGCTAAATTTTTTTAAGCTTTGTTTTTAATCTTACTTTTGTATTTTTCCATAGTATTTTTTTTTTAAATATACATTACATCTATGTACTATAAGAAATATTCTGACAACCACATAATTATTATATATATCTTTTATTTGATGATGACAATAGTTAAAAACAGAAATAATTTCATTGTTTTTTAAAAAAAAAAAAACTATATCATAAACAATATATAACTAAAATTTATTAGTAATTTTTTGCAGGAAAAATCTGAAGAAAAAAAAAATTCTTTTTTCAATAATATTTGTTTAATTTTGTCCCATTTTTTTTAATATATCATTGTGAAATTCAATTGTAACACATCTCCCTAAGCAGTGACCATCTAGCTGAAGACATGCAGGAAGATTATCAGGGCATTCGAAATTTTCAGAAATTCTTCCACATGGTGCTCCTTCTCCCTAAATATATAAATAATTTTTTTAAAAAAGATAAAAAAATTTTTTCAAATATTATATCCTAAAAATAGTTTTAAAATTTTTCTTGATAAAATTTAGAAAAATATATTTCCATTTTTTTGAAAAATGATATTATAGGGGGGGGGGGGGAATAATGGATTCTGTATTAGGAAAATAAAAACCACCATCTTAGATAGTGTTAAGTATATAGGTCGTTTTTATGTTATTTTGGTTATACCCAACACTTTTGGTTATATAACAATCCAACCTGAGCATTTACTGTTTACTCTACTCTTAATTTTGGTTAAGTGGTGTTATCACCATGATATTTACTTTATTTTTAATGATTACCACCTTTTGAGGGCTCGGTAAGAAATCCGATAAACCTTAATGATATGAGTGAAACTATTTCTCTACACTTTAGAAGTTTAATGTATTGGAATATTTAAATTCCTCTAAAAAAAATAATTCGTTCAAGTTATAAATGCAGTTTAATTTAATTCAATTTTACTTTCGCGCAAACTTCGCAACATCCGCAACCGTCCTTAATTGTGCCCTGCTCGCAATTGGTGGGCTTAGGCGTGGAACACTTAACCGGAAGTATATGACATTCACAAAAAGAGATTGCAGGTCTTTCGTACCAATTATTTTTTTTTTTTATGTATATTTTTTTATGATTAACTTATAATTATCGATTAATGGCCTCTGATTGGATCAATTTTATTTTTGGCTAGATGATTGACAACTGAATTAAAAGAGTTATAGCAAGGATTTCATTCAGCCGACAACTTATAAACCTTAAATTAATACATAAATTTAGTTATGTTAAAAGCTTAGATAGCCATATCATCAAAATAAAGTTAAAATCAAGTTATATATGAGATATGCGCATAATTAAAAAAAATAATTGAAAATATAATTTGCTAAAGCTCATTGGTGAACTAAACATTTCTTTTTTTTCGTTTAATATCTATCATTATTATTATAAATGTTTTTAATCGACTTTTAAAACTATTGATTTTCGAATATGTCTAATATATTGTGTTAAAATAAAAAAATTTTTAGAAAAAATTTATTAATAAAGTTTTAAACGAACGTGATTGAACGCGAACGCGTTCTATTTTTTTAGCTATGTTTGCGGCACTAGGATTTACTCAATGTTTATCATTAAACCCTACATCGAGGTCAGCAGAGCAGAAGAGAAATTATTATGCAGCACTTTATAAGACTTATATAGAAGAATGAATATCCGCTTAAAATTTTATTTTATATCAAGAATTTTTTAAATGCCTATTTTAAAGGGCTAAAGGCTTCGTCAAATTTCTGGTATAAATCATGGATATCATCATCTCTCTCATGATATCACTAAATATCTTCTCCTATTGTTCCCTAATAACGTCTTCTTGAACATTTTTTATATTTTTCTAGATAATTGCATTGTCTCGACGAATGATCAGTTTTTTAAAAACGATTTCAAAACTTATTCTTTTTATTTTCAGCTAAAAATAATTTTTTTTGAATCGATTAATGCAAGGCACCGCTAAAACTTTTGGCGGACGGGTGGGCCCCAATCTCAAAATAAAGTGAGTAGCCGTTACAAAAAATCTGATTCTTATCCTAAGATCTAAGCAAATAAATTTATATCGATATTATCCCCCTTCCTATCAAAAAAAAATATACGCTAATTTTGGCAACCCGTTTAAACTGGCCTAGGGAGACTTTAAATAGTTTAATTTTGGAAATCAGTTTAAACTGGCCTATATCCCAAAATTTTGAAAGATCTTAAATAGTCTAATCTTTCTTTCTTTCTTTCTTTCTTTCATTCTTTCTTTCTTTCTTTCTTTCTTTCTTTCTTTCTTTCTTTCTTTCTTTCTTTCTTTCTTTCTTTCTTTCTTTCTTAAATTCTTTGTAACCTAATACTTTTTTGTGTATAATAATTTCGTCCCACAGGATTCTTTTTGAGAATTAATTTAAAATATTCTTCTTTTAATTTATAATGTTCACTATGACATTTAAGCATGAAAAAAATAAACTTACTAAAAAAAAATACATGTTTTTTTATTTTTATCCTCGTGGAAAATGTAGTATCGTTAAACTTCCCTAGCTTTAGCCAACAGCAGCTTAGCCATATTTTTATCCAGAAATATTCTAATCAATCTTCATGTTGAGGGCTCGACTTAGAAGCTTAATACAATTTTTTTAGTCTGAAAGTTTGACTAAGAAACAATAGAAACAACACTAGGAAAATGTAAAATCCAATAGACATTTTATTATTATAGCCATCTTAAATAATTTTAGCTTTCATCCTTTTTTTTCTGGATGTAAGCTCCTTCAATATCTCTCTCCACTATTATGTTATTTATATTTTTTCATATTGGCTCTACAACTTTAAGGCACTCCATTGAAGATTTGGCCTTCCTCTTTCACATTTTCCCGTCACTTCCAAAACTCTTAACCTTATTTTCCTATATAGTTTATTATAGGCCTTCTCATTGTGTGCCCATACCACCTAAGTCTGTTCAACCATTATTTTAGTTCTTAATAGGTATTATACTACATTTAATCTTCCTAGTATTCTTGGCACTTAGCGCCTTACCCTTTCTTGATAATCCAACTACCAATATTTATTTTTTAATTAAAATTATACATTTTACAATTTGCTCATTTTGTTATATAGTGTTATTTATTATTAAAAAAAAATATTAATTTTTTTAAGGGATATGTTAAAATGATTTATTTGGCTTGTTTTTTATTACGTTTAGTTTTGTTTTTTTCGCCAGTTTTTTTTTAATCTCACTGTTTTTTTATCTAAGAAAAGTTTTTTTTAAAAAAAATAAATAGAATTTATACTTAAAATTTATTATTAATAATTTTTTTTTAATAAGGAAAAATCCGAAGAAATAATTTATTTTTGTCAATATTTTTATCTATACTTTTGTTGCTTTGTTTTTAAGAAATTATCATGAAAATCTTTTGTGACACATTTCCCTAAGCAATACGGATTTGGTTGAAGACAAGCAAGATTACCTTGGCAATGGAACTCTTCCAAAACAAAACCACAATGCACTCCATCTCCCTAAATATATTAATATTTCTTTTTAAAAAAAGATAATAAAAATATATATATATTAATTTTGAAAGCTAAATGGAAATGGTATGATCAATAACAAACAGCAAATCAACAAGCAATGTTCAACCAACGATATTTCACAAATGATAATCAAACAACGATTCAACAAACGATAATTCGATAGTCAAACAAAACAAACATAATCAAGCCGTACTAACAAATGACCGGATGGAGCAATCGATAAACAATTAGCTAATGGGTAAAAGAAGAAGCTGAAGGAAGAAGGCACTTAGAGGAAAATGTTAAATATATATTTTGAACGATAAAAAGGTTCTGACGACCTTTTTCGTATTTATTCTTTCTTTTTCGTTTTTTTTTTGGAAAAATGATATTACAAGGGAAAAGGAAAATAAGGTAGTGGGGGGGGGGGAAGGTTTATTATAATATGGGTTCTGTATTAGGAAAATATAAACCACCATCTTGGATAGGTGGTTATTACCCAGCACTTGTTAAATGACTCACTTTCGAGCCGATTTTTAAAAAGGGCTAACTCAATATTTTCATCCAGAATAGTATTACGCAAGCCCTGAAGATTTTGTTTGTAGAAGGGAACAAAGGATTGGACATCTATCAGCGAGATCTCGAGGCTCAGGCAATATTTATCTGGCTAAAATATTGAGTTGGCTGGTTTTTAAAAATCGGCTCAAAACGAGCCGTTTAACAACACTACCCGACACTTTTGGCTATATAACAATCCAAACCTGATGATTCTCTTATTACGATTAGAAAAACCGTTTTGATATTTCTAATATGGTTGATTTGTTAGTAGCCTAAAATTAATTTTAAGCCAAACAAGTGTTATCGTGTTATTCGCTTTATTTTCGATAAATTACCTTTTGAGGGTTCGGTATATTACTAATTTTTTTTTTTAAAAAAATAGTTTGGTTAACGACACATTCTGTCAGAATTATGTTAAATCTTGATGATATATGAATATGAAATTATTTATCTACACTTTAGAAAGTTTAATATATTGGAATATTTAATCCCTCTAAAAAAAAATAATAATTCGTTCAAGTTCTAAATGCGGTTTAATTTAATTCAATTTTACTTTCGCGCAAACTCTGCAACATCCACATTCGTCGTCAATTGTGCCGCCGTACGTGCAATTGGTAGGCTCAGGCGTAGAACACTTAATTGGAAGATTTCGGCATTCACAAATAGCGTTTACATGTCTTTGGATTACCAATTATTATTTTTTTTAAAGTGTATATGAAAAGTATCATTCTTTTTATGATGAACTTATAATTATCGATTACTGGCCTCTGATTGGATCAATTTTAAAAAATAAAGAAAAGTTGTTTTTTATTGGCTAGATGATGACTATGTTTTAAAAGAATCATAGCATGATAAGGATTTCATTCATGACCTTAAATTAATATATAAATAAGTTATGTTAAAAGCCTAGATAAACCATATCCTCAGAAATAAAGTTATAAATCAAGTTATGTTTTTTGAAAATGTGGGAAATGATACTTTTGTATGCATAATTTTAAAAAAAAATATTGAAAAATCTATTATTAAAACTCATACTAAACCTTTTTTTTACCGTCGTTTAGTATTTTATTATTATAAAAGGAAACAAGTTAATCGAACAGTGGATTGATTTGATGACCTGGACTTCTCGGCGAAGGCTGAACCACTTACTTCCGGTCTTTTGTTTTGGCAGAAATTAGTCTGACCAATTTTTTTTTAATATTAAATATTAAGCTTTCGGAATGAAGGTTGTAAAATGAGTCATGAAAAGCGGAAATATTTCATTTTTCTGTAGCCACACTTGTATCTTCTCTCAAGTTTGATGGAGCAATAGGTCGATGCAAATCATTCCAAACTAGGAATATGACATCTCTCTGATTTAATCTAGTAACTCCATCCAGTCATGTATTGTAAGAAAATAATCCAATTAGTTCCTGGAAGGAATTCTAACAAAATTTAAAGCAAACTTAAACCGGGTTGCATATACTGCGCCGGAAAGCTTACCCTTTACCTCTGATGCGTTGAAGACAATGTCAACCTTAATAGGCTACTTGTTACTAGCTCATTTATGTTGTTTGATTAAACTGAAGTTCAAAACGACTAGTCAAAGCAAAGCTGATTTCCTGCTCATTGAGTTCCAAGTCAAGGTTTTTGAGGTGGGATTGCCTTTAAAAATAAGAATTATTGTTCAAACAAGCAAAAAGTGTGGATGTTCGGCAGATAACAAATTATTTTTAAGGACACTTTGTCGAAATAAATATCTTTTTACATAGTTTGGTGGGAAATAGCGTGGTCTTATATTTTATGAATAACACCTCTATATGGAATTGGGATAAGCTTTAAATATAGTAAATAAAACCACGACACTGATTATAAAATTAATTATTCGGGATTTTGTCAAAAAAATGGCGAGATCATTCTGCCATTGTTCCATATTTTTTTCCAAAAGTATCGAGGATTATATAGCACCACCATGTGGCTAAAATCTAGATAACACTAGTCAACAAGAATTAAAATTCGTTAAAATTTTTAGAGAGCACGAAAAAGGGTGAAATAATGAGATTAATTTTATTTTAAAGTACATGTAATAGATAATTGTAATTGAAAACATTCTTATTCACAAATAACCAGGGTTGGAGACTTTTATAAAATTTCGTATTTAATATAGAAGATACTAGAGACTTTGGAAAAATTTTAATAAGATCAAAGATACGGAAGTATCTTGATACAAATATCATCGATACTTCCAAACTCTGCAAATACCATATGAATTTATTTTGAAATTTCCCTTAACTTATATAATTTTCCAAAAAAATAGTTACAACAGAGAGAAGGCTAAAAATTTATTTATTGGAGTGACACCTCTCCTCGTCATATCATCGTCTCCTTCATGGTTGTTAGAGTTTTTGATGTTTTTGTTCAGGATAAAATACGTTTTAAACCGATAAAATGAGTATTATCATTTTTTACATAAAATTTTTCATGGAAGATTCTTATATTTATTCCAAATATATTCGGATGAATCTATCTTCAAATTTAACAATTTTTTTACGTACAAGGTTCATGAGGTGTGGAAAGGTATATTATATAAAGTTTAAGTAATTATTGTAAAACAAAAAGGAATAAAATATTATTAAAATTTAAAAATATTTTTTAAAATAAACTTAATTGGGAATGCCTAAAATATAACAGAAAAAAATTATTTTATATCAATTTATTTAGTTTACCTATTAGAATTGAATAAGACAAATCCAAAACACAATACGAATAATTTCATATTTAAAAATTTCAAATTAAAATTTCAAAAGTTATTCAAGGACATTGTTGTTGATTTGGTTGGAATAAATGTTTTTACTATCATATTCTTTTATTTTTTTAATAAATATATATTAAATCACAATGGCTATATATACTTTGAGTTTGAGAACAATGTTGTTTTCTCTTGCCAATTACAAAAAAATGTTCAAGGCTTCTTATCAGTGTGAAGAATTGAAATAAGATTATGTATTAAAAAAATCAGGATTAAAATTAAAACTAGAAATAAAATCACAATGGCTATATATATATACTTTGAGTTTGAGAACTATGTTGTGTTCTCTTGCCAATTACAAAAAAATGTTCAAGGCTTCTTATCAGTGTGAAGAATTGAAATAAGATTATGTATTAAAAAAATCAGGATTAAAATTAAAACTAGAAATAAAATCACAATGGCTATATATATACTTTGAGTTTGAGAACAATGTTGTGTTCTCTTGCCAATTACAACAAAATGTTCAAGGGTTCTTATCAGTGTGAAGAATTAAAATAAGATTATAAAAAAAATCAGGATTAAAACTAGAAATAAAATCACAATCAATAGTTTGAGAACAATGTTGTGTTAACCTGCCAATTACGATAAATGTTTTTATAAGGTTAGAAGATTGAAATAAGATTACGGATCGCAGCAAATAGAAAATAATTTATAAGTTTAATAAATTCTTCCTTCCCCAAAATAGAAATTATTATGAAAATTTAATGGAAGTCCTCTTTTAATATTAAGGGAAGGAATATTCATGATATAATATATTTTCAAAAAGTTCTTATCGATATTAGTATCCATATTATGGGTCATGATATCTTTATATACTAATATAGAATTAGTATTTATTACATAATGTTAGTATATTAGTAATATCGATATCATATATTAATGGAGGAGCAATGGGATGTTATAATTTATCAATATTATTTTATATTTGCGTGTAATATTTTGTTTGAAAAGAGAATAAATATGATGAACCCTTTATTTTTGACGAATTTCGAACATGAACGCGTTCCCCACTTTTTCGAAGAACGCGTTAGTTTTTTTTTGCGTTCGTTCAATTTTAGAAAATCTTACAAGAAAATGGGATTCTTTCAGCTGTTTTCTTTAATTTTTTTTTAACTAGCCACTATTTTTGTCCTATAGTGATATAGTTTATTAATTTGAATATTATTTATAAATTAGGGTAAGCGTGGATGTTGTTATTTCGTTATCATCCTCTGATTTCCGAATTTATTACATTAACCTGTCATTGACATTAGAATCATATGTTCTTCAATAAACTAATTTTCTATCCTTGTAAAATATGTCCAAAAAAGTATTAAATCAGTTTCAATCTTGAAGTTCTAATTTAAAGAGATACTCGATTGTAATATTTATTATTTGATATAATAAAACTATGAGTATCCTGTTAATAATTTATTAATAATTTATCTTAGGTTGTAGTATTTCATAATTATAAGGTTGATTATTATAATAGATATATTTTATAGTAAAAATCATTAAATATTATATTGTATATATATATATACACATAGAAATAAAATAGTTAATATCTTTTAGAATTTATTTTTTTTTTGTGTGATTATCAGAAATTTCGCTATTATTTTTAAGTTTTTATCAAGCGTTTCATATTTTAACAGTTGAACACTATCAGGGCTGTGTATTTGACCGATCATATATCGGTATACGGTCAATTGACCGATTATTTAACCGGTCATATTTGGTCAAATTTAAATAAGTGTTTTTTTTTAAAAAAAATTAATATTAACTTTATTTTGTTTGTAATAGTAAAGAAAATCTATAATATTTTTATAATTCGTTGTAATTCAATAACTAATGTTTTACTTTCCATGGCAGTCCTCTTCTGATTCATATTCAATAGTATCATTTTCTTTAATCTTTTTTAATCAATTTTCCCGTTGTCTAGATCTTCAATTGATTTCGGTTTTAGTAAAAATAATACCCCAAATCGACTAATTTTCTTTTTAAAAAAAAATTAAGTAGGACTAGGAATTGTTAGTAAAATGTCATTTCTCTTAAAGGGCATGGTGTGTTAAGTCTATTCTAATTCCACAAACCTGAATTTTATTTTTTCTTATGGAAGATAATGCTTACCACATAATTTGCTATTAAACATCGCTTTTACAGTTGAAATTTATGCTATCACCAATTTCAAAAAATTTGAATCCCGTCTATAACCAAAAATGAAATTCTGGCTTGTATGATTAATCTTAACCAAAATCTACTAGTAGTCAGGTTGAATTTCAAAGTTTTAAATCAAACTCAAATAATCAATTAATAAAAGCCTATGAAACCATAAATTATAAACGTACTCTTAATGCTTCAGTGAAACCCGAAATTCTAATTAGCCAAGCCTAGATGCTAGTTTAAGAAGCACTTTAAGATGTGTATTACATGTAAAACATGTTCATATCAAATAATTTGCATCGAGAGATTACAGAAGAACACCTTCATGCGCTGATGTGCAATTGATTATCGCGGTCCATCTTGGTTACCCTCTTGCTAATCTAGTCCAAATAATCAAATTTGACTCTCTATACGCCGTAGAATTACACTCATTGCGATTAATGTCAAAACTAAACATAAATGACTCACAATACCATAACAAAAAAATATGAATCTTTAAGCGATAACGTACGATCCATCCAAATCATAACATTTTGCCTGTATTATATGTTTCTTGGTTCAAAGCTTATTCTAGACCCAACAGATTATAAAATAATCATTAAAACGATCTGTTAAAACTCTTGGATTAAAACATTTTATTCGTTTATTTTATATTTATAAGATAATGAAGAAAGAAGAGATAATGAGTTTGAGATGAATGTTTTTTAATGTTGGAACTAGAAACAATTTGATGTTGAAGATATTTTAGACGGAAGAAGAGGAGACAATGAAGGAGTTGGAGATCAGTAGAATTCACATAAAATATAATTTTTCAATATCAAACTATTCTTTAGATAATAAAAGAAGATTGATTATAGTTCTGAGAGATATAAATAATGAAAGCAAAAGTTAAGAGAAAGAAAATAAGTAAATTAATTTATATATTAAATATTTTATTTATAAAAACGATTATAGCTATATGCGAGGTTGAATCTAGAGATGTGAACTATTATAATTTTAATTTTTTTAATATAATTAAAGATAAAATTAGATAGGCATGCAATCTGATGAAGCCAAGTCTGATGCATGGTAGCAAAGATCCATAGGTATATTGGGTAAAGGTTGCAGTAATATTCAAACAGGCGTTTAAACTAATTATATTTACATTTTTTTTGGATAATGATGAAAGATAATTAATTATAAATGCGCCTGCAAGAGATATAAATAATGTATAAATAAAATAAATAAATCAATTTATATATAAGATATTTTATTTAAAAACAATAGAATCTATTTGTGAGATTTAATCTGGGGATAAGAACTATGATAGTAATAGTTTTTTCATATTTAAAGATAAAATTAAATATAGGCAGGGAGATGGTCTTATTGTTGGGAGCAACAATAAATATAAAAGTATATTGGATAATGAAAGAGTTGGTTTCAAAGCAAAATACATTAAATAAAATACGCTTTAAAATTAATCTTATGTAAGTTTTTTGAAGAATGAAGATTCGTAATGATCATAGAGATATAAAACAATGGTTACAGATTGTTACATTATTTGATTGACTTTTTGTCTATGTGAGTTGCTTATAGGAATAAATAAACATATTTTATTAATTACGTAATTCCTGAGGTGTCAATTTTTTTTATATATAGCAATCCAAATATTTAATACTGTAGTAAGGCATTGTAGGGAAACTTATTTTTCACTTTTTGTAATTCTTTACCTGCAAATATATTCATAAATCTTAATTATTAAATTCCGATATATCTATTCTTCAATAATGAATACTTATTACCGTAAAAAAATAAATAAATATTTTGTATTAAAAAAATAAAATAAAAATAATCTCCTCAGCTTACCAAATGTCTTGCATTGCTTACTTTCATAATTTGTATGCCAGTATGAGTATGTAGCATAATAAATGACTAAATATGATATTCGGGATTTACAAAATTCATTTGTAGAATATATTAAAAGAAAACCCTGTAGAAGGCCGGGGCGCGGCTATTAGGGGGTATAGGGGCTTTGTTCTCATAAAAAAATCTTAGTTGAGCCCCCAAAGATTATGACGCTCTCGTTGTCAACTATGAATGCTACCTGAGATCTAACTGAGTTACCTTAAAATTATTTCTTTCTTTTTCAATGATACGTCTTTAAAATTTGGCTTGTAAATTATATTTTAATTCTAAAAGAATTCTAGCATTAGAATACAGTTGGATACCACAACTTGTAATCAATTTAACCATTGACTACCATTAGACTGAATAATTAAGAGAACCTGGTCCAACTTTGTTTTCGCTCTTCGGCCCAATGTAAAAAGAAAATCATATTGTAATGATGATAGATTGAATAATAAGATTAAAACAAAATTGTTAATAACATAAATTATGGTTTCCTTTATTCATATAAATATAAAATAATAAATTATAAAGTAAATATACTAAATTAACTATAGTAAAAAATCAAGAAATATTAAAGTTAAAAATAAAAAAAATAACTAAAAGTAACAAAAATTCTTTTACAAAAATTACAAAGTCAAAATTCTATAAACAATATCTATATATAATTTTTTATTTAAAATTAACATATTCAAAATATCCTCATTTACATAGTCTATAATATGAAATAACTCATCCTCCCATATAATATTGTAATAATTCTTCTCATTTGTATAAAACATTTTTTTTTTATAATAGTGTTTATAGGAATATCACAACACTTTCTTTCTTTCTAAAGTGACGGAGTTTAAGTTAAGGGTTGTCTAGTAGGTGGCACCTCGCCAGTAAGTCCGTGTTAGCGTGTACAAGCCATATAGTTTAATTAAGAAAACCTCATGAATAAAACGCAGATTATTAAATATTAAGCTGATCTTATTTCAGCAAGTAAAACTTTTGAACAAGAATAAATAGTATAGAATAAATTGTGT